ATGTGAAACCCACTTAACAAAAAAATAACACCAAGGGTATGGAGGAAGTAAAATTATGAGGTTGAAGGACCAAATTGATCTTTAATTAAATTTAAAATTTTTTTTCTTTTGTATGATAAATTTAGGATCATTTATAAATTTTTGCATATCACTTAGGGGCAAAAATCACCTTGACCTTATATCTTACTTGTGTATCCCCATAAGGTACGTACGTACAGACTAATAATTCAATACCTTGTACGTACGCGTAATTTTGAACCAAAAATAAAATAAAATAAAATAGAGAGAAGACAGGGGGCATCAATAATTCAATACGTGGACTCACTGGTCTAATAATGCAAGGAATCCTTGGAGTCGAGGCGATTTCGGCAAACTGACAAAATGGCTACCCAACACATTCAGCAATTATATATATATTTTTTTAAATAATGAAGAAGGACAACCTATTGTCTCCCATATGCTTCTAAGCTCTTCACATACACACACATCTGTAAGTATCATAAAACATTTCTTTAAACCTTAAAAAAGTGAAATTTTCTTTTTGGCCATAAGCATTAAATCATGTTTTTTAAAATAAATTTTAAGAGTACTTTACTTTGAAAAAGTTAATTATTCATTAATAATTTTAAACATTAGGAACTAATATATTTAATCTTTTAAATGATAAGAGTTTGATTAAAACAAAATAAATTTTATGGACCTAATTCAAAATAAAAAATAAAAAATAGGAGGACTTTTAGATTAATTTACATTTACTTAAACGTAACTCTATGCAAAATGAGCTCAGCTTCATTATCCACTTAAATAAGCGGAGAGACAGATGGATTGGTAATTATTAGAGCACTGGCGTACTAGAATCGTTTCGAGTTCCCAAGATTACCAACAAAGGTGGAATATTTTCGGCAAGATTTTAAAACTTGATCACTCGAGTACTTACGTAATCATACAACAATATAAAATCCTCGCACATGCGTATTATTGATTATGCTAGAGCCTAATTTATACGCACATGCTTGATATATATATATATATATATATAATTTGAAGGATCCGTAGTTGTCCGCATTATGCTGGTTACGTGGGACTGGTTAAAATGAATGAAAGTCTTGGTCATGTTCAAGGACGCGTAAAGAGTTCTTAAACTAGTTTATTTCCTTTGACAAACCCGTACTAAATAACATGACGCGTTTTATGATCAGTTTGCAAAACACACACACATACATGTATATGTGTCTATACAAATGCATAAGAGCCAAATTAGCACCATCACATGATGATGTCGATCAATTATAGTGTTCAGATACAGGGTGTGACAAGACTGGGGAATGCTCTTTGTGAGCTGAATGTGAATCCAACGTATAAACAGATCAGAGATGTGTGAACAACATTGGATGTGACGTAGGTGAGGAGTTGTGAACACAAAATATTGTAATCTTAATTGAATGAGATTGAATAATTGAAGGGAACGAATTAAACATGCCATGGAAGAGGATTGTGACGGACACAGTTTAAAGGGCCACGCCCTTCTCCGCCACGAGTTTCCAGGTCTCTTCCCCGGTCTTCGCTGCCCTAAACTTTCTCCAAGTGGTTTGGTCAAAAAAAAAAAAAAAACTTTCTCCAAGTGGCACATCATCCATGTGTCTCATGCACCCGCCTTCACTTTCTTTTTCCTTAAAAAAAAAAAAAAAGCTCCAAATGTCCTAATTAGCCACTTATCAGTTAATTAGTTCTTATCCAGTTAGTGTTGTATTCGCTCTGGTGCTACCATATCACCTATCACGAAACTATATATAACCTAATCCCCACAAATTTAATTTCTATAACTAATTTTTCTTTCATATAATTACATACATACATATATATATATATATATATATATCTGTATATCTTTAAATCTAATCTCACTCTTTACATATCATTCCATCAAGTTTATCCTTAAATTAAATGCTACGTCCGTCAGGCATAATATCTAGATAAAATTCAAGTAAAATAAATATAATTAAAATCAAAATATAAATATAATACGAGAATCCTAAAAAAAGTAAAAAAGAAAGAAAGAAAGAATTAGAAGTATAACTTCCTTAGTCCAACCACAATTGTATCTCTAACTAGCTAGGAAATTCAGAAACTCATATAAATTAAAAAAAATACAAGCATCACAGTTATACGATACGGAATCATGAATATAACTCATAAGATGCTTCATTCCGTGATTCCTTAACTTGCCATATGAATCTAAGTTTGCACAAGCCATGGTATATCCGACGGGGGATCATGTATGTTTGTAGCATGTCCTCTTGCTTGTCCAGTGTCGATTTAGCCACATTTGATGCCGGTTGACTCTGTAGATGTTAATTTCTCTTTCCAGTCACACTTGCGCCAATTACAACCACGCAAGTGTCAGTCCAATGCTCTATTTACCAAACACCATTTTTTTTTAGTTATATGTACTCAAAATACCTCCAAATGGACCCGCGATGAACGCAATTAATTAAATTAAACTTCGACATATGTGTGTGTGTGTGTGTATATAATCATGGCAAGGAGTGCTGTCCATTCGGCCAGCCTGCTTATATTTAAAGTTTGATAGATGAATGTACATATAATAATTTAATCTCATGATCACTAATTATTGCTTGCATGAAGGGGGGGGGGAGAGCAAAGGTCGAATATATTATTTATTCCGGAGAATCTTTACAGATTAAGTTTCTCCTTCTCATGTCCTTTGTTATTTTGAATGTACATATTGCGTGAATCACATGTGTACGGTCAATTACTTGACCGGGCCATGTGGGAAAGGGTTTAATTTTGTCCTCCGTTTTTTGGGCGCCTCACAAATTCTACTGCTGAGGGGCATGATTAGGTCACGGTGAAATTGGTGGCCCAAATTAAACAAATTGTCAAGTTCAGTGTCCTCCAGTTAGACTCTTGGAGTCGGGCTTGGGTAGCCATTCGATTTGTTCATTCAACTACGTGCAACAAAAGTTTACCGAAACACTCGGGCGGGTGATAAATATTTGAATTACAGTACTAAAAATTAGGGATTTTTTCTAGAGCCTCAATCATTGGTGCTTGTAAAAGTTACAACCAATTTATTAAAAATATTATAATTCAATCTCTCTGTTTTTATAAGAAGGGAGAATGACATTTTAGGCCATCTCAAGAAATTTTTTTCTAACAAGGCTCCATTAGTTTTGCATCAAATATTATTTTGTCCAAACACGCATATATTATTAAAAGCTGAATTTTAATTTTTTTTTCAGTTAAGATTTCCTGATAAATTTAACAAGTTAAGATTCAGTTTTTAATAATAATATATCCATATTTTTATAAGATAATATCTGATACAAAATTGATAAGCTTTTATTGTGATAAATTTTTTTGGGGGTCATAAATGTTATTCTCCCTCATAAGGATCATGTTTTAAAATTGAGCCTTCTGATTCTATCACCATTTTGATAATTAAAAATGGCTCGTGCAATTTAAAAATGCATGAGCAATGACTTTATTGCTTCAAAAAAACTATTTTTGAAATTTGTTTAGAATGATTATGATCACGTACATACATTTTATGGGGTATTGAAGCTACTATTATTAAATATTAAGGGTCATTTATATACATCTTACATATAAAATTTTAAAAAAATGAAATTTTTGCCGGGTATACGTGCCTCCACTGTTAAAGATAAAAGAAGTCCCTTTAGAAAGTAAGAGATAGATCATGAATATGTAAAGCCTGATATGTGTCTAACCAAATAGCTTAAATTATTTTAGTAAAGTAGATTATATTTAAACATACTTAATTAAAAAATTTAATATAATATCAAGAGCCAATTGGGGCAAAAACGAGTAGATTATTTTTTCAAAAAGAACTTTTTACTTCTTCTTTTTTTTCATTTGGCAAATGCTGAAATGTTTCCAAGTGGGGCTTGAACCTGCTATGTGAGCATCACAAGGATGCCTTAGTGTCAAGTGAACCAAAGGTTCTTGACAAAGGATTTTTACATGTAAGTAGTATTTGAGAACAAAATATAGCGTTTGATTTTTACTTAAGAGTATGTTTAAAAATGGAGTTTATGAAAATTGGAAAGCGATTTAAAAAAAATAATGAAATTTTTAATTTTTTAAATTTATTTCAATTATCAATTTTGTCTTTTAAATTTAATTTTTATTAATTTTATCCCTTACATTTATTTAGATCATTATTTTAGTTTTGAAGCATAATTTGACTCTCAAATTAATCTATTATGTTGTCGGTCAAAAACTTAATCTAATATATAAAATATATTGATGATTTGACATGCAAATAGAGCTAAATGAAAATAAATTAACTTTTAAATTAGTTTAAACTTAATCTAATTACTTAATTTTTTTTTTGTTCTTTTGTTTATTTTGTAAAATTTCAGTTTTTATTTTTTTACATAAATAGTTATATTTCTTTTCAATAATCTCCAAAACTATCATTAATATTCTAATATCCATATAAATATATTTTAACATATTTACTTTTTTTTTAAATAATAAAAATCAAATCAATAATTGAGTTAAATTTTAAAAAATTAAATTTAATGAAACAAATCAATGACATCAACAAGCTAAAAGATCCGCCACCCAAAAAATAACTTTGTGACATTACTGAGGTTGTTGAATGCCTAGCCCATCTGTCTTGATCACCCATTAATGTGTTCCTGGGTTTTTTTAAAAACGTCAACTTCGGTCTCATGTTAGTTTCTGAGAATCATCGAGATATTATTGGTTGAGGGGGGAAAACGCAAGTGGCGCTCCTTTGTTATAATGTAAAACAACGAACAGTACACTTGACTTTTTGGCCCAAACGGGGAAAACAGGAAACACTTGACATGGAAGTTTCGTGTTTGATTCACGGAAGATGAGTGACACCAGGTGGCGGCTGTTTTTAACCTCACTGCCCTCCATATCGTACATCGGAGTGAAGTGAACCTTGTGAGAGGGACCTTTTTGTTTATGTGCATCTCCCGTGATAAGGTTAATTTACGTGGCATGAAACACGTTTCGCGATTGCGATTCTGGACGCGTCGCCGATATATAGATGCCACATAAGACCGTCGGAGGCAAACAAATTTAGACTCACCTCTCTCTCTCTCTCTCTCTCTCTAGCTGATCTCCAACTCCAAGACACAAAAATGGTGAGAACACCTTCGTATGACAAAAGCGGACTGAAAAAAGGAACCTGGACACCCGAGGAAGACAGGAAATTGATTGCTTATGTTACTAGGTATGGCTGCTGGAATTGGCGCCAACTCCCCAGGTTTGCAGGTAATTGGTCTTCACTTAATTATTTCATGCCCCATCATGAGACTGTTTCCGGAATTAAACGGCCTCTGTACAATCTGGGTTTCAGGGCTGGCGAGGTGTGGAAAGAGTTGTAGGCTGAGGTGGATGAATTATTTGAGACCCAACATCAAGAGAGGCAACTACACTCCTCAAGAAGAGGAGCTTATCATTCAATTGCACAAAGAGCTGGGCAACAGGTATGTATATATATATATATATATATATCTGCTTCATTATAAGCTCTCTTATTAACTAGATGCAATTCATTTTACTGCCCGCCCGATTCATTCATTTCCGTGTGGAAATATTGCAGATGGTCGGCGATCGCAGCTCAGTTGCCCGGGAGAACTGATAACGAAATAAAGAACCACTGGCACACCACCCTCAAGAAGCGATTGCAACACAGCTCGAGTGAACACCATCAATCTAGAAAGTCAAAGGATACTTCCACTTCCAAACCACACGGCGGTTCTTCTCCTCCAGAATCTGCTTCTTCCCGGATCGAAATCCTGGATTCTAGCCCATTGTCTCCCCTGTCGTCATCAACCTCCTCTGCTAATACAGCTTCCTCTTCTCTGGAAGACGACTTGGCTTTTCTCGACGCTCTTCCAGAGCCTGAGTCCCAAAATTCATGGACCCACCTAAATTTGGATGACATCTTTTGCGATCCAGCTGAATCAATGCCGATGCACGCTACTTCTCCAACTTCATCGATTCCTCACGCTGAGGATTTGGAGGATGATTTTGCTTTCTTCCTGGATTCTCTTTCCCAGGCACCATTTGAAAGTTTTCTGATAGACACACAGATGGCTGACGTGTCTTACCCCCAAATACAGTCACAAGCACCATTGGGCGCTGATCAATTAGGATATCTTTATCCACTTTACGATCTAGACCTCTGGAGTCAAAGTAATTTGTATGAATGAGGAAGAACATATTATTAGCTTATTCAAATGGGCAAAGTGAATTCGCTTTGGGAAATCAATGTAGTTTTGGATGAAGAGTGCTTGTAGTATAATGCACCTTGCAAACCGGCCGCAGGTCATTACTCATTGCAACCGCATTTAATAATAATAATAATAATAATAATAATAATAATAATAATAATCTTAATCTGCGACGGAGGAAGTTGTGGACTTAGTTTGATGTAATTAACAGTACTTATGAGCAATAATTAGTCTGACTTGTCCTCAAGCCTGAGCGATCCATCGCACTTTTTCGCCACAATAATTGACTAAAACTATTCTTCTGATTTTAGTTATAAATCACTTTGAGCATATTATGTTAAAATAAAAAAATTTAAAATTTTATTAATTTTATTTTAAAATTTAATAAATTTTTACCTTTCTTTTTAACAAATATTCTTAAATTGTATTATTAATATTTTTATTTAAAATATTTAATAAATTAAAAATATAAAAAAGAACATTAAAAATTAACAAATGTCCTATAAAAAAGACCAACACTAGTGCATAATTTATTTTTTACAAAAACTTTTAACATCAATTAAAAGGCACTCATTATTAAAAATAGAGATAGTGATATTTTTATAATATTCACTATTATTGTAAGACTTTTAACATTTGGTTAAAATTAAATGGTTATAAAAAATACTTTTAACATTAGATGTAATTTACACTTACATTAAAAATTTAAAAAAAATTATATTTTTAACAATGAGTACCATGTTACTTGCTCTTGAAAAGTTGACTTGAGGGGGTGACACCCACGGTTGGAAGTTGAAAAATAAAAAAATTAAAATATCTCATTTTTAATAGTGGATGATGTAACATTTACTGTTGAATGTATTTTAAAATGTATAAAAAATCCCACCCTCCCTCACTTCGTCTTCTCCAGCATGACCATCCCTCTCCCTCCATCTGAATCATCTCCTTGGCCCCTTCCCCCCTTGCCTCCCCCCGTCATGTTCCCTCCCTCTATTTCCCTCCTTCAGCCTCGGCCCCCCTCCCTCGAAGTCCCCCCGTCACCATTTCGGAAGCGAGAAGCTACTGATGACTCCCTGGGATATTCGAACATGTAATCCATGCCTTACTCTTGATTATCCTTGTTTATTAATTACATATTATTTGCAGTATAACGTTTCTCCATTCCATATCCTTTTTTTATTCAATTCCATGAAACGTATACTTGGTTTTCTTTACGATTGTCTCCTTGCCTTACTAATTGATATTTGATATCCATTGTTAGGGACGAGGATGCTATGTTAAATGCACAATGCCAAAAGAATCTGGAGTTAAGATGGCAAACTGAAGTTAGCTCCAGCATATATGCTACCCCCTTGGTTTGTTGATATTTAACAGGTAAAATTGTTATAATCCCAACTTATCGCGTGTGTTATTTGTGTAAGCTGCCATGGCTTTCATTTTTTTATTATATTTGTAATTTATGATGTAATTATAATTGTATTAATCTTCTGTGTTGATTGAATTCCAATATGGGTATAATTTCATTTCATGTAAGTTTGGACTGTGTTGGACCTACATTAGCAACTTAGTCTTGCACTTGAATAAAATATGTTATTTTTGGTTAACAGTGATGGTAAGCTTGAAACCGTGGTTCCCTCTTTTGTTCACTACCTTGAAGTTCTTGAAGGCTCTGATGGGGACAGAATGCCAGGTATAAAAATCAAGGGATAAATCCCTATCATGATAATGGCATGCATTGTATCTTCTTCTATGTATTTAATCTTGTTAAACTTCATAGATATATCAAGGATAAGGCATTGATTAATGTTTTCCCCTATATATTTTGGAGTAGATGTAAATAAAATAATAGTTATATATGATATGTGCGGAATTGAGTTAAAAGTAAGTGAAACTAACACTTTATTAACTTATTTAATTATCAAGATTTATTATCGATTGCTCATATATATGTTTTTATATAGAGTCGTAGGCAACCATAGAAAATTAATTTGTGCGGCGTATATGTGATAAGGCACATGTTCAAAATCATCATATTAGAAATAACTAAATTTACAAATAAAGTAATTATTTTTTTGAAAAGCCAATTTTATTATCATTTGAATTAGTTAGTTAATATTTTAATTGTAATTTATACTTTAATTTAGATGCTTGACATTACAAATCCATTCTCTTGGAAAGAGGTTGACGACATCTTCACACATTGGGCACAATATTTTGCGGATAGTATGTAAGGTTTAGATAGATTTTTAAGAAATTGTATAAACATTTTGAGTTTTGCGTAATTTCTATAAAATTTTGTATTGAAATTTGAATTATTTATATGCACTGAAACTGTTTGGTTGACAATAAATTGTATAGAACATTTTCATTTGCAAAAATTACAGAAATAAGTAGAAACAGAATTAATTTTTTTTAAAAACCACTTTTAATAGCAGATATAGTTATAATCGCTGTTAAAAATCCATATTTTCCCCCCAAAATTAAATCAATAGGTAACTTTTAACAACGAACTTAGAATTAGTATTGAAAGTTTATTTTCAATAGCGGTTGAACAATCGTTGTTAACCGTCTTGAACTTTTAACATCTAAAATAACAATGATTTTGTAACCACTTTTAAAAATATTTTTCACCCACTGTTAAAAGCCCATCCTATAATATTGTAAATTTTTTCTTTTCTCTTTTCTCTATAAATAGGACTAGAGGAATATATCAATATATATATTTAATTAATAAATTTTTATTGTAACTATGTAATGATACTCATCTATTAACTTTTTGACATTTTGTAATTGGTTTTGACCATTGTCTAATGACATTAATTAAAATTGAAAGTGATTTAGATTCTCTCCCAACTAACTTAAGATATAGCTAGGTGGAGAGCGAAAAATAAAAACATAGGTGAACTGTAAAGCTAGAAAAATGGGTCAATTAACCCAAATAGGTTGGCCCTTAATGGACTCAAACTTAAAAGAGCTAGCTCATTTAAGTTATAGTCCTTTTAAGTCAGGATACCCTACAAGATTTAGACCCTTTTACTTGTTTTTTTTTATTTTTTTTATGAAACTAAAAATATTTCATTACACCAACACAAAATCTCAAACCTATGTCAAAGAGCAAAGCAATACAATACATGATACATCCATTTGACCATTTTAGCACAACAAACCAAATGACAACAAATAGCACTGAGCAAATAAACTTAATTCAATAGACACGCTTGCTATTGTTGGTGTCTAGAGATGCGTAAAGAGAGTTAGTTCAACGCAGTGATATACATTTTTTTCAAAAAAAAAGAGTTGAATTATTTATTCTTCACCTTTCTATATTGAGATTGACATCAAATTTAAAGAGAAGTTTCATTTAGGATGTAATGTTTTGAGTCTGTAAAGGCTCATCTCAGGAGCTATGGAGATTAAAATAAAAATAGTATAAATTGCAGCAATAGCCTACATTGGTATTTGATCTAATTTTCTTGTATCCTTAATGCTTCCCTCATCAATCCCCACCATAATCAAGCAAAATTAAGAGGCGAGGAATCAAACCTGCGTGTGTGCATATGAGATTAAGGGATTGAGATTTGGGACTAGGAGATTGAGTAAAATGGGGAGCAGAACTAAGATTGAGGAAAAAGGGAAAAAGATTGAGTTTGAGGCTTCAAGCTTAGCTTGCAAGTCATGATCACAATGCATAATGAGTAATAAGGAGAACTTAGGCAACCAATGACAGCAAGCATTGAGCAGCAGAGCACTTCACACACACACAATTCTAAATACATCACAAGTATAAGGTTCAAACAAACTATAGTGAACCAAGGTCATCTTACAAGAAACTAAATATGAATAGAAAAATAAACTGAAAGAATATATCTGAGATAAGATTAGTAATTAAAGAGAATCCTAAGAATTTTAATTCTCTTTTATATTTTAAAATTCAATTTCTTTTAGTTATCGTGTTTTAATTTACCTTTAAAATTGAAGCTTTAATTTAGATTACTATGATGTCTTAAGCAAATCATGATCTAATTATACATAAGTCTTAAAAGATTACTTAAGGCTCTTGAATATATGTCTATCTCAAGTGCAAATTAAATTAATTCCAATCATAAGTTACTTAATAAATGGTCTAATTGAGATTTTCTTTTGTCAAAGTTGAATTCCAAAATTTAAACACATACTAAAGTTGGCCATCCAATAACATGAGAATAAAATAAATTATATTAAACATTAAAGTATTTATCAACATCAATAATTAGAAGGAAATATATGAAAAGAAAACTAGCAACTCATGACTCTAAGTATGAAAATTAATTCAAATTCAACATAAAGATTAAAAATGATAGAGTAATAGGAGAATTCCACAATATTTACCTAAGAGCCACTCAGTTGTTTTCCCAGTATTCAAGAACACCTCTCACACCTTGGTTAATGCTCTATAATAGCCTCCTCACTTTTAGACATAAACTTGGATGATTTTTTAAGTTTGCAATGACTTTATAACCTTTTCATGCTCATTTAGCCTTTAATTTTCATCTTTTCTTATCTAATTTGATAAGATTTTGTTTAATTTTGTATTTGGATTTTAAAAAGGCTATTGCCATGTGTCACTTCTTACTTCCACACACAATCATAATACTCTTCTCTGTGTCCGTGCACAGTCAAACGTTGTAAGAGTCATATCTGCCTCCTCCTCGTGAGCGTGAATGTCGTGCTTTAACATGTCCATGTGTGGTGGATTTTTTTTCATGTAATCTCCTTATGCGATCATGCTTCCAAAAGACGCTTTTCTTCATTTTTAGTGCATCCATGCATGTAGAGACTTGCTTCTTTGCTTGTTCACAAGTAGATAATTCTTTTTGAGCTTGTTTCTTAGGCTTTAATATGGTACTTTGCATTTTTTTTCCTTTTATATGTTATTTTTGCACATTTTTCCTCTAAATGCCCTAAAATCACCAAATGAGATATTTTATCCCAATTTACACATTAATTAGCAAATAAAAAGTGAAAAATAAATATTA